CAACATCATACTCAATGGGCAAAAACTAAAAGCATTTTTCTTAAGAACAGGAACAAGACAAGGATGCCCCCTTTCGCCACTCTTATTTAACATAGTACTGGAAGTCTTAGCCACAGCAATCAGACAGGAAGAAAAACTAAAAGGGATCCAAATCGGAAAGGAGGAAATGAAACTGTCATTAATCGCAGATGACATGATACTATAAGTAGAAAACCCCAAAGACTCCATCAAAAATTTGGTTCAGCCGTTAGAGTGTTGGCCTGCCGTCCGGAGAGACCTGGGTTCGGCTCCTGCTAAGGGCATGTACCTCGGTTGCTGTTTGTCCCTGGCCCTGGTTGGGTTGTGCGGGTGGCAACCACTCGATGTGTCCCTTTCACGTCAATGTTTTCCTCTCTCTCTCTCTCTCCCTCCCACCCACTCTATCTGAACGAAATATCGAAAAATGTCCTTGGGTGAGAATAAAAAAAAATAAAAAATAAAAATAAATAAATGATTTTGGCAAAGTAGCAGGATACAAAATTAACATCAAGAAATTGACGGCATTCTTATACACTAATAATCAACTCACAGAAAGAGAAACTAAAAAAACAATCTCATTTACCATTGCAGCAAAAAAATTAAGATACCTAGGAATAAACTTAACCAATGAAATAAAGGACCTATTCACAGAAAACTACAGGTCATTGAAAAAAGAAATAGAGGAAGATATAAAAAAGTGGAAGCACATACCTTGTTCATGGATTGGAAGAATTAACATCATTAAAATGTCCACACTACCCAAAGCAATCTATAGATTCAATGCAATCCCCATCAAAATACCAGCGACATACTTTACAGAACTAGGACAAATACTTCTAAAGTTCATGTGGAACCAAAAAAGATCCTGAATAGCCACAGTAATTTTGAAAAAGAAGAACGAAGTTGGAGGGATCACATTACCAGATTTCAGGTTATACTACAAAGCTACTGTAATCAAAACAGCCTGATACTGGCACAAGAACAGGCAGATAGATCAATGGAACAGAATAGAGAACCCAGAAATGGACCCAAGACAATATGCTCAATTAATATTTGACAAAGTTGGCAAAAACATACAGTGGAGTAAAGACAGCCTCTTCAATAAATGGTGTTGGGAAAATTGGACAGCTACATGTAAAAAAATGAAACTAGACCATCAACTTACACCATACACAAGAATAAACTCAAAATGGATAAAAGACTTAAATGTGACTCATGAATCCATAAAAATCCTAGAAGAAAATGTAGGCAACAAAATTTCAGACATTGTACGCAGCAGAATTTTAACTGGCACATCACCTAAGGCAACAGAAACAAAGGAGAAAATGAACACATGGGACCATATCAAACTCAAAAGCTTTTGCACAGCAAAAGAAACAACCACCAAAATGGAAAGGCAACCCACTCTATGGGAGAGCATAATTGCCAATGATACATACAGCTCAACAAAAGGAAGACAAAGAACTCAATTAAAAAATGGGCAGAGGAACTAAATAGACACCTCTCCAAACAGGACATACAAATGGCTAAGAGACATATGAAGAAATGCTCAGGATCACTAATCATCAGAGAAATGCAAATTAAAACAATGAGTTACCACCTCACACCTGTCAGAATGGCCGCCATCAACAAATCATCAAACAACAAGTGTTGGCGAGGTTGTGGAGAAAAGGGGACTCTGGTACACTGCTGGTGGGCATGCAGACTGGTGCAGCCACTATGGAAAACAATATGGTGTAACCTCAAAAAATTAAAAATTGATCTGCCATTTGGCCCAGTGATCCCACTTCTAGGAATATACCCTAAGAAGCCTGAAACACCAATCAGAAAGAATATATGTACCCCCATGTTCATAGCAGCACTATTTACAATAGCTAAGATCTGGAAACAGCCCAAATGTCCATCAGTAGACAAATGGATAAAAAAAGCTGTGGTACATATACACAATGGAGACTATGCAGCTGTAAGAAAGAAAGATCTCTTATCCTTTGAGACAATATGGAGGGACCTGGAGAGTATTATCCTAAGCGAAACAAGCCAAGCAGAGAAAGACAAATATCACATGATCTCATTTATTTGTGGAATATAATGAACATAACAGTCTGAGGAACGAGGTAGTCCCAGAGACATGGAAGTGGGGTACAGACTGACAATCCCCAGAAGAGGGGGTGGGGGGGAGAGATAAACTACAGAACTTATATGCATGTATGCATGAACAATGGACATGGACAACAAGGCTGGGGACAGGGTGGGGAGGGAGGGGAAGGGGGGAATCAGTGGGGGGGGAGGAGAAACATCTGTAACAAAAATAAATTAATTAATTTTAAAAAAGCATGCATATGTGTTTTTAGATAGGTATTATATAAAAGACACTATATGTATATAACCTCCTAATGTGTTTTATTAATCCCATTCTCAATCCCCTATCATTCCAAACTACTGTCCATACTTACATGGGCAGAAACCTGAGTCTGATCATGTCATTCTTTTGGTTGTTGTTGTTAATCCTCACCGAAGGATATTTTTCCATTGATTTTCAGATAGAGTGGGTGGGAAGGAGGGAGAGAGAAAGAAACATAATGTGAGAAAGACACATCGACTGGTTGCTTCCCACACGACCCTGACCAGGGCCAGGGATTGAATCTGCAACTGAGGTACATGCCCTTGACTGGGAATTGAACCCGAGACTCTTTGGACCTAGGGTGACGCTCTAACCGCTAAGCCATACTGGCCAGGGCTGATCATGTCATTCTTTTGCCTAAAAATCTTCCATGGCTTTTAAAACAAAGTTCACAATCTAGCATATGATCTACAAGCTCTGTGTGATCTAATAATCTCCATCTGCTTTCCCAAGGCATCAGTCTCACCATTGCTCACTATGTTCAAGCCACACAAGGAATCTAGAACATGCCAAGTACCTTTTACTTTCCTACCTATTTCCCTTTTACCTGGAAAATTCTCTTCCCTGCCCAACATCCTTTACTTGGCTAACTTCAATTTATCCTTCAGGTCTCAGCCTAAGTATTTACTTCCTCAGGGAGACCTTTCCTGAGAGCCTTCTTCCCCAAGCCTAGATTGTCCCTCTGTTTCGTGTTCTCAAACTCCCTGTGCTGTTTCTTCATAGCAGTTAACACAATTGACACCTATCTGTGTGATTTTTTACTTCCTTGCTGGTCTGCATGTTCCATGATTAGAAGCCATGTCTTTGTTTTTTTTTTCTCCCTAATCTTCACCTGAGGATGTTTTCCTATTTATCCTCAGATAGAGTGGGTGGAAGGGAGGGAGGGAGGGAGGGAGAGGTGAGGGGGGGGGCTGGGAGGGAAACTCTTGCATGAGCTCAACCAGGACCAGGGCCTGGGACCAAACTGCAACCTAAGTACATGCAGGTGACCAGAATCAAACTAGAGACTCTTTGGTTGGCGGGCTGACACTCTAACTGCTGAGCCAAACTGGCCAGGGCTATTTTTATTTTTTTAATCCTGACCAAGGATATGGTAGGTTTTTTTGTTTTGTTTTGTTTTTTGTTGTTGTTAATCCTCATCTGAGAACATATTTCCATTGATTTTTAGAGAGAGTAGAAGGGAGGGAGGGAGAGAGAAACATCAGCGTGAGAGAGAAATCCCATATGCACCTGGACCTGGGATCAAACCTGCAACCTACGTATGTGCCCTGACCAGAGTCAGACTTGCAACCTTTTGTTGTATGGGATTACGCTCCAACCGACTGAGGCAACTGGCAAGGACTGGGCCATATCTATTTTTGAATGAATGGACTTTTATTTATTTATTTATTTATTTTTTAAATATGCTTTTTTTTTGGTTATTTAGAGAGAGGCAGGGAGAGAGAGGTAGAAACATTGATGTTAGAAACATCAATTGGCTGCCTCTTGCATGCTCTACACCAGGGATCGAGCCCGAAACCTGGACATGTGCCCCAACTAGGAATCAGACTGGGACCTCTCATTCCATGGGACGATGCTCAATCCACTGAGCCACACCAGCTGGGCATGAACTTTTAATTAAATAATTAATATAAAGTAGAGTTGCACTGTGTAGTCTTAAAATCAATTGTATGCAGTAACTAAAATAGCCACACAGTGTCACTAGAGCTTTAGTCCTTTGGGTGAAATAGGTGAATAATTTGTTATGAAATTGTGGTCCTGAAATTTTGTCATTTATATTCTAGTTTTAAAAAATGTATCATAGTCTTCATTATATTTCTATCTGTATATCTATGTATTCAAACAGAGATAATCTTTTATAATAATAATATTATATATATATATGGAGGGCAAGGGTTTATAGATTTATATCAGACTTAAAATTTTTATTTTAGTAGATTAGTAGTTTTTTGGTTTTTTTTTATCCTCACCCAAGGACACTCTTTGCATTTATCTTCAGATAGAGCAGGAGGAAGAGAGAGAGAGAAGAGAGAAACATCGATGTGAGAGAGACACATTGACTGGTTGTCACCCACACAACCCCATTTGGGGCCGGGGACAAACTGCAACTAAGGTACGTGCCCTTAGCAGAAGCTGAACCCAGGACTCTCTGGTCTGCGGGCTGATGCTCTAACCACTAAGCCAAACCATCCAGGGCTAGATTAGTAGTTTCAAAAGGTACAAATTTTGAAATAACTTGTGGCATATTAAATTTTTAGTAATAATAAATTATATTTTGTATCTTTTACCTTCCAAACTCTAATATTACTTATAAAGAATAAGAATAGTTATTTTATTTTTATTTTCTTTCCTTTTTTATTTAATCCCTCCTCTCCTCAGCATAACCCTGAGGTATGTAATAGGCACTCACTTGAATGAATGATTAGGATTTCTTTTTCTGGTCTTCTGAATAATATTTTTTTCTATTCAAATCTTTGGAACGTCTCTGAAATCATATTTTAATTATCCTTTAATGAAAATAGCAATAATATAGATGCAAAGTATATAAAATATAATAACAATAGTTTTTTTTCTTTTGAAGCTACACATGGCAGTACTTACAGTAAGTACACATTTAAAGACAAAGCCTCTGTCTCTACTTCACTGTCTTTTGGCAAGTGAAACAGTATTGTCCCTCCACCCTCTTGAATTTCTTTATCTGTCCTATGACATTTTGGAACTTTTAAAAAATAGAATCAGAAGTTTTAATAAAAGATTATAAACTATATATTTCTTTGGTATATTGTAATACATGGGAAATATATAGGATATACTATCTGTTTCATCAGTTATTGGCTCTCAGGATTTCATTTTTTGAGTTACTTTACAGATTGAAGTTTTGTAGAGTTTTCTATACTTCTGGGCATAGCATAGTGAATATAATTAAGAATAGAAAGAAAACAAGGAGATACCATTGAGAGTCTTAGATATATGATTTACTTAAAAATTGTAAACCATAACAAATTATTTAGAATTTATTTGTAGCTCAATCACAGTAATCATAAATACCTGGTTATAACTTTTCTCATAGTCAGTGTTTACAGAATACCCTAATGACTAGGTTTATAAGATGAGCTTATTCTATCTCTAGCTTGAACTATATATCTTAAGATATCTATCTGTCTATCTCTATCTATCTATCTATCTATCTATCTATCTATCTATCTATCTATCTCTGTACTCAATTAATATAGCACAAATTGAACTCTTCACATAGAACATGTATTCTGTAAGGAGTAATCTAGTGTCTTTCAGAAATTAAATGCTGTTTATTTTTCCTTAAACAGCTTTATGCAAATCCTGAGGAACCTGAGGTAAGAACACACATAGAGATGGGCAATATATATACATTATATTTAAATATGTTTACCTAAATTGAGGCCATAGATTATGTTACTTGACTACCATATGAGCAAAGTTACATGTAGTGAGCTCTTTCAGTGTGTTTTATTATAAACTTCACCAATTCTTTATTATGAGATTTTAAATACTTAGGAGGACATTGAAAAAAAGCATTGAGTAGAACTGAGCCTGTTCCCTAACATGTTAACATTAACATACATGTTCTACTTGTATAAACACCCTATTTTATTATTTATTTTCACTGATTTTGAATCCTTTTTGTGGACTTTTCGAAGACATGGCATAATTCTAAACTTTTTGCCAATTAAATTCTCCCCTTTTAGACCTTTTCATAGATTTTTCAGAGCTTTACCTCTTGCTTATTTCTCTAAATTTCTTCACTCTGCTTATGAGTTCTACTCATCCTCAAGGCCAACTCATGTCCAAATATTTCATGAAAGGCTCTTTGTCTATTCTGTTCACACTAATGTCTTCCTTTTCTAAATTCCTTTTTCATCAGGACCCCACAATTAAACACTCTCGATCGATTCATATAGATTACTTTATCTTCCCAACCAGATTGTGAGTTCTTTTTTTTTTAATAGTCACCCAAGTATTTTTTTTTTCATTGATGTTTGGAAAGGAGGGAAGTAGGGGGAGGAGGAGGAGTAGAGAAAGAGAGAAACATTGATGTGAGAGAGATACATCAATGGGTTGCCGCCCCTACCGAGCCAGGGATCAAACTTGCAACCCAGGTGTGTTCCCTTGACTGGGAATCGAACTTGAGACCCTTTGGTCTGAGGGCCGAGACTCTAACCACTGAGCCAAACCAACCGGGCTTGTGAATTCTTGAAGATAAGAGTCTCAACTTGTTTTCTGTCTTCCCAAGGGAATATTATAGTCTTGGACACATAATAGTTACTTGTGTTACTTTGAGTGGAAGCTGTGGCGGTGTCATAGAAATGGAGAAAGAAGCCTTTCGTTCTTCTTATTCTCTTCATTTTCTTCCTAGCTTTCTTTTCTGTTCCTTTTCTTTTTTTATTGCTTTCAATTTTCCTTTTCTATGCCAATGGATTTAGCCTAATTAGTGGCATTCAAGATGAAATTAAGCAGTTTTAGTTTTTAAAATCCTTTCTTGGCAAGATTATAAATAGCTGTTTGAACAAGGTGGAAGAAAACTGGAACATATAGGAGGATAACAATTCCTTAATGCCAAACTACCTCTCTTTATCTTTGTCTCTTGTGCAATTTCAAAATGGCTTTTTTCCCTCTAGGTTTAGTGGGAAGTTTCCTAAACTAAACCTTCCTGATAAATTGTTAATAAATCAGTCACTTCCTTAGTGCAGTAAATTATTATGTTTTCTGCCCTAGCCGGTTTGGCTCAGCGGTTAGAGCGTCGGCCTGCGGTCCTGAGAGACCCGGGTTCGGTTCCCACTAAGGGCGCGTACCTCGGTTGCAGTTTGTCCCCGGCCCTGGTCGGTTGGGCGGGTGGCAGCCACTCAATGTGTTCCTTTCACATCGATGTTTCTCTCTCTCTCTCTGTTCCTCTCTCACCCTCCCACTCTACCTGAACAAAAAATGGAAAAATGTCCTCGGGTGAGGATAAAAAAAAAAAAAATTATTATGTTTTCTTATGCATGCAAAAATTCTACTCTGAAATCAGTGTATTTTTTATTTTTTGTTAATCCTCCCCCCAGGATATGTTTCCATTGATTTTTAGATAGACTGGGGGGGTGGGGGGAGAAGAAGGGAGAGAGAGAGAGAAACATTGATGTAAGAGAGACACCTCATTTGGTTGCCTCTAACACAACCCTGACTGGGACACATGCTCTTGACTGGGAATCACAGCCAAGACCCCTCAGTCCATGGGCTGTCACTCTAACTGCTGAGTCAGACTGGCCAGGGCTGATGTCAGTGGTTTGGAGGTAGTGAAATGCTAAGCAAACTGGGCTTACATACAGAAAAATCCTACAGAATGGGAAGAAAGCTATCAAATGAGCTTTGCTACATGCAGTATATATACATATATATAAAACAGTGAAATTAGGAAACAAAAGCTTATTATATGATAAGTTCTGAACTATCATTTATGACCCAGGAAAAAGTTTATAAAAAAAAATTTTTTTTATTTCTTTCAGAGAGAGAGAGAGATAGAGCTAGAAACATCAATGAGAGAACATTGATTGGCCACCTCCTGCATGCCCCCCACTGGGGATTGGGCCCACAACCTGGGCATGTTCCCTAACCGGGAACCAAACTGGTGACCTCTTGGTGCATGGGTCATGGCTGAACCACTGAGCCACACTGGCCCAGCTGGAAAAAATATTTTGAATGCTTACAGATTCTTCCCTAAAGCAGGAATCCGTAACCTCTCTGTGTTCATGGCACACTTTGAGTACTAGAAAGTTTGGTGGCATGTTTGAAGGTATTAAAAGACTTAAAGGCCTGGCCAGTATGGCTCAGTTGGATAGAGTATTGTCCTGGACATGGAAAGGTTACAAGTTTGATTCTCAGTCAGGTAATATACCACTGGTTTCGGGTTCAATCCCCAGTTGAGGTGGGTATGGGAGGCAACCGATTGATGTTTCTCTCTCACATTAATGTTTTCTTTCTCTCCCTTTCCTTCTCTCTAAAATCAACAAAAGCATATCCTCAGGTGAGGATTAAAAAGGACACCCAACAAGTCAGCAATAATTATAGTACAACTGTGGTGTAACAATGTTTATAGTGTCTGAAAGTATCCATGGGGTTACACTGTTATGGTTGCTGTTGACATCAAGTCACTAATAGAACTATTTACCTCACTGGTCTCATTATTATTATTATTTTTTTCTTTATTGACTTTCAGAGAAAGAGAGGAAGGGAGAGGGAGAGAGAAATGGAAACATCGATGAGAGAGAACATCGATGAGCGAGAACATCGATTGGCTGCCTCCTGCATGCCCCCCACTGGGGATCAGGCCCACAACCTGGGCATGTGCCCTGACTGGAAATTGAACCGGCCACCTCTTGGTGCATGGGTCGATGCTCAACCACTGAGCCACACCAGCCAGGCGTCATTCTTTTATATACTCAAAAAACAACATTCTCACATAAACACAGTCTTTCTTTGGCATTTATCTGATATTGTGCCTTGTTTCTTGACTCATATCCGTAGAACTGTATCCTCCCCTAAACAAAACTGCACAAAGGATAACAATATTTACCTGAAACAAGAATACATTTTTCACATGGGTTAAAATTTATAACACACCTATGAAGAGTCTGTCATGGTACAATTGAGAACCCCTATCTTAAATAAAGTGTGCTTACCTAGTCCAGAGGCCAACAAGAGTTTCGAGTATTGCACAAAGTTGTGGTGCTTCTGCACTTGAAGATTTGAGATGAACTGACAAAAGTAACTAAAGTAGTGAAGGGGGTAGTATAGCTTTTCAAAAGACACATACTACAAAATGTGTAGAGGGTATTAATAAGAAGTGTAAGCCAAAATGTAAATATGTTAAGGAAAGATTTATACAACTCAATGCATTATAGACCCATAATAGTTACTATGTGTGAATTTTGTGAGGATACAATTCTTATTGTTTCATTGTCTATTCCTTTGTGCCTATTGGAGGTGGTTCAATACCCACTTTTTTTTTTTATCTTCATCCGAGGACATTTTTTCCATTTATTTGTTCAGATAGAGTGGAAGGGAGAGAGAAGAGAGAGAGAGAGAAACATCGACGTGAAAGGGACACAGTGAGTGGCTGCCACCCACATGACCCAACCAGGGCCTTGGACAAAATGCAACCGAAGTACATGCCCTTAGCAGGAACCGAACTTGGGTCTCTCTGGACCACAGGCCAACGCTCTAACCACTGAGCCAAACTGGCCAGGGCAACACCCACTTTTAATAGACTGCTTCAGGAACTAAACTTTAAATGGTTCCTGCTTCTAGCCACAATATGCTTTTAGAGATTTTGTTTAAAAAGTTTTAAAAATCCTGTTGAAATCCTAATTGAGTAATCAGCTCTGTCCTGGCTGAATATTTCTTCATTCAGCAAATATTAATTAGGTTCTCTTTATGTGCTTAGTGCTGTTCAGGGTATAAAAATATGGAGTTAATGGGCTAGACAAAATACCTGCTGTCTGGAAGTCTAATTCTAATGAGGGAGTATAAATAATAAAGTTTTAAAAAAAAATTAGCATCCGATCAGTGTGGCTCAGTGGTTGAGCATCGACCCATGCACCAAGAGGTCGCCAGTTTGATTCCCGGTCAGGACACATGCCCAGGTTGTGGGCCCAATTCCCAGTGGGAGGCATGCAGGAGGTGGCCAGTTAATGTTCTCTCTCATCGATGTTTCTATCTCTCTCTCCCTTCCTCTCTCTCTAAAATCAATAAAGGAAAAAAAATTAGCAAGTGAATTTCAGATAGTCATAATGTTATAGAGAAAATAAAAGAAGGTGGTATGCCAGAGAGTGCTGAAGTAGGGAATAGAAGAGAAGGGATAGGAAGATAGTCCATGGAAAGAATCCCCAGGGGGATACTGTTTAAGCTGAGACCCAGTGGCTAGAGGTGTCAGCCTACGCAGGCCTGTGAGAGACAATGGCACGTGACTGGCAGAATAGCACTATAGTTAAGTTAACATTGCAGGTGCTGGAGTCAAATCCAAGCTCTACCACTTGCCTACCTTCATCTAGGATAATAATATCTATCTCAGAATGTTGGCTACATAAAAATGAAGAGATGTAGAAAATTTAGAGCAGTGCTCAAATATTATCATTATCGTCAACTGAAGACAGCATGTTCCAGAGTTCAGTTGTGCAAAGGTCCTACGGCAGGAAGACTTTTTGTGTGTGTGTTTGTGGACAGAGAAAGTATCCCAAGCCTGGAACTTACTGGGAAAGAGGCAAGAGAAAAGGTCAGAGAGGTAGGCAGGGGACAGAAGAGTAAGGCCTTGTGGACCAAGATACATTTTAGTTTTATTCAAAGGGCAGTGGGAAAACATTGGGAATTTTAAGTAAAGGAGTAATATTGTCTGATTTGTATTTTCAAAAACTCTTTTTGGCCATAGAACAGAGAATGAATTATAGGAGGAGTAGTTTGGAGGCAAGCAGATCAAATAGAGAGAGGTGGTGGTGGCTTAGGGCAATAGCATGGAGATGAGAAAATCAGATAGACTTGGGATATATTGTGGAGATAGATCTGGGAAGATCTATTTTTGCCAACAGATTGAAATGTGGAGGGAGAAGACAGGGCTGTATATGTTGCCATTGCTTTGGTCTGTATAGATATATTCAATGTGATTTATAAAAACCATTGATAGTCCCGGCGGGTTTGGCTCAGTGGTTGGAGCGCCGACCTGCAGTCCCGAGAGACCCGGGTTTGGTTCCCGCTAAGGGCATGTACCTCGGTTGCGGTTTGTCCCTGGCCCTGGTTGGGTTGTGCTGGTGGCAGCCACTCTTTGTGTCCCTTTCACATCGATGTTTCTCAGGACCACAGGCCGATGCTCTAACTGCTGGGCCAAACCGGCCAGGGCTCGATGTTTCTCTCTCTTCCTCTCCCACTCTATCTGAACAAAAAAAATGGAAAAATGTCCTCAGGTGAGGATAAAAAAATAAATAAATAAAAACCACTAATAAGCAGTTTAAAGGGTCACCTTTATTAGGCAACACATTAATCTAAAACTAAGAAGAACATTTTATGAGGTGTTAAGAAGAGACTAGTGCCTGCTGCAAATACGCCTTTCTTGATCAATCATATTGAAGTTATTAAGGATTAGCATCTTCTGTAAAACAATTAAAAATATAAATTTTTGTTGTTAATGTTAATCCTCACCCTCATCTGAGGATATTTTTTCAATTAATTTTTAGAGAGAGTGGAAGGGAGGAAGTTGGGGGTGGAGGAAGAGAGAGAAATATGGATGTGAGAGAGACATATCAATTGGTTGCCTCTCACATGCACCCTTAACTGAGGCTGGCATGTACCTGAAACTCAGGTACATGCCCTTGACCAGGAATTGAAACTATGACCCTTTGTTACATTGTGTGTGGGCTGACGCTCTAACCATGGAGCTACAGGAACTAGGGCACAAACATAAATCTTTTATTAGTTACTTCAGGAACCAAATGATGAACTGTTAAAATTACCAACTACTATTATTGATACAATTTTAAAAATGAAAGATAGCTCAGAGCATCAAAACTAGAGTTGGTTGAGAAACATGGGCAGGCGGGAAGAATAGGCATTGTTTGCTTGACAGGGCAGTTACACTCAGCATCAATGAAGAGAGAACGCAGTGTAACTAGCCTGTCTGAAGTGAAGCTGTTGCTGTAGGCACCTTTAGTTTCACATACCTCCCCTATTGTACAGTGCTCCCTCAGTATCCTTAGGGGATTGGTTCTAGAACCTCGGTGGATACCAAGATCTGTGGATGCTCAAGTTCTTTATATAAAGTGGTGTGGTATTTTTTTTTCTCCCCACCGGAGGACATTCTTGCATTTATCTTCAGATAGAATGGAAGAGAGAGAGGAAGGAAGAGACAGAAAGAAACATCTACGTGAGAGAGACACATCAACTGGTTGCCATCCACATGACCCCAACTGGGGCCGGGGACAAACTGCAACCAAGGTACATGCCCTTAGCGGGAACCAAACCCAGAACTCTCTGGTCTGCAGGCCATCGCTCTAACCGCTGAGCCAAACCGACCAGGGCTAAAGTGGTATGGTATTTGCATATAACCTACGCACATCCTCCCATATTCTTTAAATCATCTGTAGATTACTTGCAGTACCTAATACAATGTAAATGCTATGTAAATAATTGTTATACTGTATTGTTTAGGGAATAATGAAAAAAAGTCTGTACATGTTCAGTACAGATACAACCATCACAGGCCTAACTACATAGTGCACGTCAGCAACCACGTAACATTTTTTTTCCAATTTTTTTTTTTAATCCTCACCTGAGGACATTTTTTGCATTTATCTTTAGATAGAGCAGGAGGGAGAGAGGGAGGAAGAAAGAGAAACATCAATGTGAGACAGACACATCGACTGGTTGCCACCCACACGACCCCAACCAGGGCCAGGGGCAAACTGCAACCAAGGTATGTGCTCTTAGCAGGAACCAAACCCAGGACACTCTGGTCCACGGGCCGATGCTCTAACCGCTGAGCCAAACCGGCCAGGGCTTTCCAAATATTTTTGATTCTTGGTTTGTTGAATCTGCAGATGTGGAGCCCAGATACACAGGGCTGACTGTACTCACAAAGCAGCCTTCTGAACTTGGTTGGAATTTTCAAGTAGACTATCTTGCTAGAAAAATATTTTTTCTCTGCCCTGGCCAGTTTGGCTCACTGGTTAGAGCATCAGCCCGCAGACTAAAGGGTCTTGGGTTCGATTCTCGATCAAAGGCATGTACCTGGGTTGCAGGTTCGATCCCTGGCCCTGGTCAGGATTACATGGGAGGCAACCAATCAATGTTTCTCTCTCACAATGATATTTTACTCTCTCCCTCCTTCCCTTCCACTCTATCTAAAAAATCAATGGAAAAATATCCTTGGGTGAGAATTAACAATAAAATAAATAAATAAATAAATAAATAAATAAATAAATAAATAAATAATTTTTTCTCTTTTAAAATGAACTCTATTAAAATTCAGTGTTCTACAAGTTTAAGCAGATGAGCTAATTTCCCTAGGACCTAATAATCACCTGTGATTAATGGGATACCAAACCTTATAATAGAGAAAAGTAACAAGAACATTGAGACTTTTTCTGATCAGTCTAACATCCTCATTCCCCCATTGTCAAGGAACAAATAGTGAAACAGATGAATAAAGGGTACTTTTTTGTTCTGATGTAAACGCATACCCTTTTCCTGTCTTTAATACCTTCTCCAGCTCTGTGTACACACTATAGTATATCTGAGCCAAATGTTTGCTCCAACTACTAGACAATCATTTTGAATGAAATATCTCTCTCATGAGGAAATTTGCCTTTTATTTCTAGCTTTCTTAACAGTGAGGGGAGAAGATAGCAGTAGTGCCTAGTTTTTAGTGATGATCTAAAAAAACAAGACCTGAAATAATAGATTCTTGTTCCTTTTGTAATTTTTCCAGTTTTCCTGGTGCCATTCTAGTCTTCCCTAAATTACTGCAGTAGCCTCTTGATTGCTCTCATGGTTTCCATTTCTTCCTTCTGCACTCTTAGAATAGCCAGGGCGAGCTTTAGAAATGTAAATCATTCCCATACTTAAAACCCTTCAATGGACTTGGATTTACTTAGAATAAAATCTAAATCCCTTACCATGGCCTGGCTGGTGTGGCTCAGTGGATGAGCGTCTACCCATGCACCAAGAGGTCGCTGGTTTGATTCCCGGTTAGGGCACATGCACAGGTTGCGAGCTCAGTCCCCAGTAGAGATGCAGAAGGCAGCTGATTGATGTCGATGCTTCTTTCGATCTCTCTCTAAATCTCTCTCTAAAAACTAGTAAATATTAAAAAAATAATGATAAACTCCTTACTGTGGCTGAGAAGGCCCTCAAGCCTCCTCTACAACCTCATTTCCTGTACTCTTCCCCCTTACTCATTGCCAGTCACTTGGTCTCTTCTCTGATCCTGGAAGAGGCTTTCTTTCCTACTTTACAGCCTTTGTATTGCTGTTACCTTTGCTTGGGACACTCCATCCTCCCCAAAGTCTGTGTATGACTGACCCCTCTTGTCACTAAAGCTAAGCTCAAATATGACCTCTTTAGCGAGGCTTTCCTTGGCCCTACCAAAGCAAATTAGTACCTCTCCCCTTCTGTACTATCTGTCACAGATTCATATGGTTCACAGCACTTATTAATATCTGAAATTATCTTCTTTTATTTACCTAGTTATTGACTGTCTCTCCCACAAGGCTGTATATTCTAGAAAAACAAGGAACCTTTTCTGTCATGTTCAACACTGTGACTTCAGTGCCTGACACAAAGTTCAGTAAATGTGTGTTACATGAATAAATGATTTCTCAACCAGTTTCACTGTCATTTACCTATGCTGGGTCACATACTTGACTCTGTGCCTTAGTTCTTCCAGCTTTAAAATGATAACAATAGCATTTGCCATCTTAACTCATTTTTAGCATGGAGGAGAAAAATTATCTCTATATCTGCAAATATTATTCCTGAATAATGTAATGCTGTGACATAAACAGGTAAGTAGGAAGTATAGTAGGTAAATAATGAAAATGTTTCTTATCTACATATTATCAGATAAGATTCTTTCTCTTTCTCTCTCTTTTCTTATCCTCACCCGAGGATATCTTTCCATCGATTTTTAGATAGAGTCAAAGGCAGGGAGAGACAGAGAGAAAGAGAGAAACATTGATGTAGAGAGACACATTGATTGGTGGCCTCCCGCATAACCCCAATGGGGGCTGGGATCAAGCCTGAAACTGAGGCATGTTCCCTTGACCAGGAATGGAACCCATGACTCTTTGGTCTTAAGGTTGACTCTCTAACCACAGCCAAACTGGCCAGGGCTGGATTTCTTTTTTAATATATTTTGTATTTTTCAATTACAGTTTACATTCAATATCATTTTATATTAATTTGAGGTATATAGCATAGTGGTTAGAATCATATACTTTATAAAGTGTTCCCTTCAATATTGCCAGTACCCACCTGGCACTGTACATAGTTATAACAATATTATTGACCATATTTCTTATGTTGTACTTGATATCCCCATGACTATTTTATAACTATCAATCTGAACTTCTCAAAGGATTTCTTTTTTAAAGTAATTTATTTCTCTGTTCCCTTTGATGTTTCTAGAAAGTGACTGAGATATACCAGTTCAAATTCAAATACACAAAAGAAGGAATCACTATGGATTTTGACAGGTAGAATCTAATTGTTTAATGAACATGAGAAATATATAGGATTAGGATAAACATAGCCTCTTGCAGCCAGAGACAGGCCTTATACTTCCTTTGTAACTTTCTCAACAATCCTACAAAAAAAAAAAAAAATCACTGTTATAAAAAGGATTGTAATAATTGTTTAAATTTCTGGTGGGAATAGGGGCTTCCTTTGCTTCTTTCTTTTTTTTTTTCATAGATGATCTTAGTAGGGTCTAAAAGCAGTTATGTATAATGGTGAAGATTTCCGATTCCTAAGGCAGAAAGATCTAGCTTGGAACCCCAGCTCTGACTATTACTGGTTATATAACTTTAAACAAATTACTCAACCTCCCTAAATACTAGTATTCTCATCTGCACAGTGAAGTTAATAATACAGTATCTACTTCATATGGTTACTATGATTAAGTTATAATGCATATATAAAGCTTTGCCCATGTCTAACACATAATAAACTTTCAGTAAATGGTATCTAATGGTGGTGGTGGTGGTGATGGTGGTGGTCCTTGAAGGCAATGGTGGTTAGTAGACAGTACAGCAGTAGAAATTATATTAATGAGGCTGTCTACATGGTGTTAACTAAAGAACTCCAAAAACTATCTATCCACTGAGCCAAAATTTCTTCATTACTATGCCAAGATATTGACCCTCTCTGTCTTAAATATAGCCAAACCCAATCTGGGGTAGATGAAACCCCTAAACTATTTGCTTATAGATATAATCATTTTCATCTGCTTACCTCAGTATATGTCATACAAATAAATTTTCTATGTATGTCCCAGTATGGAAAAGACTGGAAAGCACTGTATTTTCCTATCAAGTCTAAAATTCCAAGTTTTTGATATACTAATAGGTTAAGTAGCAAAGACAATGACATTTGCTTTAGGAGGTCCTTAATGCAGATGGAGATTTTTTATTATTATTATTATTAATCCTCACCTGAGGATATTTTTCCATTTATTTTCAGATAGAGTGGAAGGGTAAAAGAGAGAGAAAAACATCAATGTGAGAAAGACACATTGATTGGTTGCCTCCTGCATAAGTCCAACCAGGCCGGGGACCGAACTGCAACGGAGGTATGTGCCCTTGACCAGAATCAAACCCGCGACTCTCTGGTCCAAGGGCCGACACTCTTACTGCTGAGCCAAACCGGCCACGGCATGGAGATGTTTTATTGAGGAGCCACGTTTAGTTTTTTCCCAGGAGTTTTCTGGTTCAGATAGAGCTAAATATTGCTGATGAGATGGAATAGAATGGAGGGGGATGATGATGAAAAGCACTGGGTGACAGAGGACTCATGTCAGTGGTATGAGTTTTCCTGAAAGGAATGACTCTGAAGAGAAATGTGGTCTAATTCTCAATTTTCCATACTGTTAGCTCTGTTTCATCATTTACTGCAAGTTTGAGGATTTCTCTCCAAGATTCACTTCCTTAATTATGTTCTCATTTGTAAAACTTACAGACGACACTAGGATATGAAGAGGAAGTAAGTTCTAGGAATAAGGATTAAAATATTAACATCATTAGCTAACATTTATATAGCACTTTATAGATTGTTTAGCACTTTTCATACATATTCTTTTACATAAAACAGTTGCCCTTTATTCTCTAAAATTCAAATATAAGAGCTACTGTCAACCAGAGTAATCTCTTTTGTTATGAAGGCATGTATGTCAAGAGGTGAGCAGTAAAACAAATGGCCAAATCTTTCAGCTACTAAGGAGAGAAGGTAATACATATTACTGATTTCCTAGAAACCAAAGGTAGACATTTGTTTAACTGATCATATAAAATTACTTTATCATCTCTTCTATGGTAAAGATAATTTCCCTTTTAAAAGAGTGTAAGGGAGCCCTGGCCAGTTTGGCTCAGCAGTTAGAGCGTCGGCCTGTGGACCAGAGAGTCCCGGGTTCAATTCTCTCTAAGGGCATGTACCTTGGTTGCAGTTTGTCCCCACCCCAGTTGAGGTCGTGTCCAGTTGGGGTTGCTTGGGTGGCAACCAGTTGATGTGTCTCTCTCACATCGATGTTTCTCTCTCTCTTCCTCCCTCTCTCCTTCCCGTTCTATCTGAAGATAAATGCAAAAATGTCCTCGGGTTAGGATTAAAATAAATAAATAAATAAATAAATAAATAAGTAAGTAAGTAAGTAAGTAAGTAAGTAAGTAAGTAAGTAAGTGTAAGGGAGGCCTGGCCAGTGTGGCTCACTGGTTGAACGTCGACCCATGCACCAAGAGATCACCGGTTCGATTCCCAGTCAGGGCACATGCCCAGGATGTGGGCCCGATCCCCAGTGAGAGGGCATGCAGGAGGGGGCCAATCAGTGCTCTCGCTCATCAATGTTTCTATCTCTCTCTAAAAAAAAAAAAAAGAAATGAATAAAGAAAAAATTTTTTTTTTAAAGAGTGTAAGAGAGTCTTAAATAGGATTTTACATGAATATGATGTATACTGAAGGATCCCATTAGTTACATGGCTATATATGCTTATCTTTTTCAAATTGACTAGGTCCTGGTAGACAAAACTTATGGTTGTTCAAAATTGAAACAGCAATAAATGTATTTACTTAATGTTTGTTTTATGAATTCACACTGCCTCCAGTAGTTCAATTACTTAGGATTATTTTTCAGTATTGAATGCTTATTATGTGAAAGGCATCGTACAAATATATTATTGTTATACTTCTTCCTGGAAACTATGCAAATGTGAGACTAATTGGGGAAGAAAATTTTGGAGAAAAAGAAAAAATTGGAAGGTAATTTTGTCCAACTTGTTCATTCATTTCTTTTTCTTTTTTTATCCTCACCTGAGGACATTTTTCCATTTTTTGTTCAAATAGAGTGGGAGGGAGAGAGAGAAACATCGACATGAAAGGGACACATCAAGTGGTTGCCACCCACACCACCCAACCAGGGCCGGGGACAAACTGCAACCGAGGTACGTGCCTTTAGGGGAAACCAAACCCAGGTCTCTCTGGACCGTAGGCCAACACTGTAACCGCTGAGCCAAACTGGCCAGGGCTCATTCATTTCTTAATTCAACAAATGTTTATTATGTACTCACTGTAGCTGGACACCAAACTTAGTATTGTGGAGATGGAAGGTATAGTCATTCATAGTCTAGAGGGGGACATACAAACAGTTATAAACAAGGATGAGGTATGGGATTGTCAGGGAAGACTACCTTGACAAAGTGACACATGAGCTAGGTATTAAAGGTTGAGTTTGGGAGAACCAGGAAGAGAAGTGGGAAAAGCACGATAAAGCAAAGTGCAAATGCACATAGATGAGAGAAGTAACTGGGCAGTTAACTGCAAATGAAGGTGGAGGTGAGGGGATGGGTTGTCATGAAAGGCATTGTACATGCACCATTCTCGAATTTGATTGAAAGGGGGTGGATGAAATAGAAGAACTTTTATGGCCTTTTTTTAAAAAATGTATTTTACTAAACCCCCCACCCAAACCCTTCCTGATGCTTCTGATGGGGGGAGGTGATTGAGAGCCACTGCTATACAGGATATATTTAAACTTGTGATGACACAGTCATAGGGGCAGGGACTCAGCCATGACCAACCCACTGGTGACTGGCTGGTAGGACTCCAACCCAGGTCTGACGAATCTAGGAAGAAACATAGTGAGGACCCTGCCCAGGACTTCATGTTTGCATGATGGAGTGAAAAGGCAAGGCCACATCATTAGTCTGACTCAGATCTTATCCACTAACCAGTCAAAGCTCGTTTGTAATTTCTACTTTTTTTTTTTTTGCAATTTCTGTTTGACCTCTGTCTGCTCCCTTCCACCTGCCCACCAGATTGACATGGAGTAGTCAGGATTGCCTTCTGATTAGAAACCTTTAACATCTGCCCTTGACCAGAATTGAACCCACGACTCTGGTCTGCAGGTCGATGCTCTAACTACGAGCCAAACCAGCCAGGGCTGAAATAGAAGAATTTTAAGCAAGAGAGTGACATGAGCAGATTTTCTTATTAGGAATTTTATTTCATCAGTGGTGTGGAGAATGTTTTTCAATGTGGACAAGCAAAAAGCAGGAAGAATAGTCATTGTCATAATCCATGTAAAACTGAGGAGGGGATACTTCTGAGAGATAACCAGATGATAGAAAGGCCCAGACCTGATGATTGATTTTATACTAGAAGAGTTGTAGAAATGTGTGTAAGCTTATCTCACAAATGAGCTAACTGGCTTAGAGTGTCCATATTACTTAACCAAGGTTATTCAGCTAATAGCAGCAGAGCCAATATTAGATGTCAAGTCTCCTAATTCCAAAGCCATTTTGTTCTCACTATTATAGTATGTGGTTATTTGTAAATCAAATTTTTAAAAATTAGGTCATATTTAAAATTCCTTAAGGGAACTTGCTATATAAGAAATCCTTTGGCCCTGGTCGGTTTGGCTCAGCGGTTGGAGCGTCGGCCTGCGGTACAGAGAGTCCCGGGTTCGGTTCCCGCTAAGGGCATGTACCTCATTGCAGTTTGTCCCCGGCCCTGGTTGGTCGTGCGGGTGGCAGCCACTCGATGTGTCCCTTCACATCGATGTTTCTCTCTCTCTCTCTCTCTCTCTCTCTCTCTTCCTCTCTCTCCCTCCCGCTCTATCTGAACAAAAAATGGAAAAATGTCCTCGGGTGAGGATAAAAAAAAAAAAAGAAATCCTTTGCCCTGGCCGGTTTGGCTCAGCGGTTAGAGCGCCGACCTGTGGTCCAGAGAGACCCGGGTTCGATTCCCGCTAAGGGCATGTACCTCGGTTGCAGTTTGTCCCCGGCCCTGGTGTGCGGGTGGCAACCACTCGATGTGTCCCTTTCACATCAATGTTTCTCTCTCTCTCTGTTCCTCTCTCTCCCTCCCACTCTACCTGAACAAAAAAAAATGGAAAAATGTCCTCGGTGAGGATGATAAAAAAATAAAAGAAATCCTTTGTATATACATTGCAAAAAATATATTCTCTTCTCTAATTTACATTCTAAAAATAATCTCAAGAGTGTCCTGATGTTTAATTTATATTTATTTGATCTTATAGTAAAAATTTTTGTTCTTTTTTTAATAGATTCTTGATATTGCATATGATTGAAAAGTATGCTGTTTTTCTATGTTGTTATGGCAGTAATACAAGCATTGGAACTGGGACAAAGAGTGAAGATATCAAGAAAGCCAGTATTCTACTGATCCGTAAATTGTATATACTGATGCAGAACCTTGGACCCCTTCCTAATGATGTTACACTTACTATGAAACTGCACTACTATAATGCAGGTAGGTGGAGACTTCTAGTCAAATTGCTGCTTCAGTGTTGAAGTAATATTCTATGTAAATAGAAGGATTTTGCAAACAACAGAAAAAGATGTCTGTTGCCATACATGAAAGATTTACCTGATTTGTTCTGTTGAAGCTCAGTTTTCTGTACTTTTTATTTTGCAGTGACCCCACATGATTACCAGCCCCCTGGCTTTAAAGAAGGTGTAAACTCACACATCCTGCTGTTTGAAGGGGAGCCCATAAACCTGCAAGTGGGAATGGTTTCAACTGGCTTTCATAGCATTAAACTAAAAGTCATAACTGAGGCCACCAGAGTGTTCGATTTGGAGAATAATCTCTTTCAGGAGAACAGCACCACTGAGATTGCTCATCAGGGTCTAGACTGTGATGAGGAAGAAGAGGAATGCAATGATCAAGTAAGGCAAAGCTTTAGTGAGCCTCCATGCTTCAGTTAAACACAGTTGACATTTTTGAGTTACTATACCGGTCATATCACAGTAACAGGGTCTAATGGAGTATTCCAATATAAAAACTGAAACAAACCTATCCCCTATCCTTAAGGAGTATTTATTCTTTAAAAAGTACTGTCTTTAAGAAGGAAATACACTTTGTTAGATAAAATTGTCTATGACTAGGAGAAGAAAAAAACTTTCCATTATACTTCTTTTATAAAAGATACCCATGAATTTAGAAAAATTTGTATTTTCTGTCTTTAATTTATAAGTAATAAACATACTCAAAAATAATCTGAAGGCGCCGTGGCCGGTTTGGCTCAGCGGTTAGAGCGTCCGCCTGCGGTCCGGAGAGACCCGGGTTCGGTTCCCGCTAAGGGCATGTACCTCGGTTACAGTTTGTCCCCGGCCCTGGTTGGTCGTGCAGGTGGCAGCCACTCGATGTGTCCCTTTCACATCGATGTTTCCCTCTCTCTCTCTTCCTCTCTCTCCCTCCCACACTGTCTGTACAAAAAATGGAAAAATGTCCTCGGATGAGGATTAAAAAATAATAATAATAATAATAATAATAATCTGAAGGCTTTGTTAGAAATAAATGATAGAGATTTATTCAAGGGTCTTAGAATTTGCATACTGAAAACACAACTGGGCAAAAACCTATAAGTATCCCAAAGAGAAGGAAAGGTTAAAAGTTGTTAGGGCAAAGAGTAAATTCCTGAGAATTATGAGTCTTGCATTCTTAGCCCTAGGATTAATCCAGGACAGTTATCAATCAGATGACAGGCAGTTAGGATGTTGGATGCGGCGTGGTCCAGAAGATGGGTGCCAGGAAGTCTGGTCACATCCCAGTGGTCGGGGTAATGGATGTCAGGTGAATGTATATGTGAGTCCTTTAAGGGGGTAATCAGGTGGCCTGGATAAGTGAGTCCTTCAGGGGATAATTAGAGGATTAACTGGAGGTCCAGACATATATCTAGACCTAGAAAGTTTAAAAAAGTTTAAGCTTAAAAAAGTTTAGCCCTGGCTGGTTTGGTTCAGCGGTTAGAGCATTGGCCTGCGGTCCAGAGAGACCCGGGTTCGGTTCCCACTAAGGACACATATCTTGGTTGCAGTTTGTCCCCAGTCCAGGTTGTGTTGTGTGGGAGGCAGCCATTCAATGTGTCCTTTTCACGTCAATGTCTCTCTCTCTCTCTCTCTTCCTCTCTCACTCCCACTGTATCTGAACAAAAGATGGAAAAATGTCCTTGGGTGAGGATTAAAAAAAAAAAAAAAAAAGTTTAAGTGGCTGGTTTGGCTCAGTGGTAGATCATCAGCCCCCGGAACCAATGAGTCACAGGTTCGATTCCAGCCAAGGGCATGTACCTCGGTTGCAGTTTGTCTCTGGCCCTGGTTGGGGTCGTGTGGGAGGCAACCAATGTGTCCCTCTCACATCAATGTTTCTCTCTCCCTTTCTCTCCCTTTCTCTCCCTCGCATTCTCTCTGAAGATAAATAGAAAAATGTTTTCAGGTGAAGATTAAAATAAAATAATAATAATAATAAAAATAAAAATATGTTAAATAAGTAAGTAAGTTTCCAGGGTAGTTATAATGAGAATGATGTCTTTCCTCATGCCTCAACTTTCACAATGTTAATAATTTTAGCAGCTTGGTTAAAGTGACTCCATTTTATATATTCCCCGTCTTCATTCTTTCCTCAGTTATTTTTGGAATTTAAAAAATATTTTAAGTGTTTATTCATATTCACTGGAAGTATAAATAAGTTATTGATTACTGGTAAAGTTGGGTAGGAGGGAGTTGGGGGAGGAAAAAGTTATGGATAAACTTAAGTCAGAGTGAAAACAAAATGATATTCAGCTCTTGGTTATGTGGAGAGAGAGAGACAAGCTTTGGGTCTGGATGTCTAGGGAAAGCCAGGGGACTGGGGTAGGAGCACTGGAACCAAAAAGGCAGGGCTCTGAGCCTTTTACTTTCCTACTTTTTCCAGGAGAGGCTTCGAATTGAGTACTTGCTAGGGCCCCACTGTGTTCTAGGTAAATTCACACTCTGTTGTCTGGATTATAAAGCTTACTGAATGCCAACATTGTATTAAAAGGGTTCTGAGTTAGCCCAGCCAGTGTGGCTCAGTGGTTGAGCATCGACCCTTGAACCAAGAGGTTCTATTCTCGGTCAGGGTACATGCCCAGGTTGTGGGCCCGATCCCCAGTGGGGAGCATGCAGGAGGTGGCCAGTTGACGTGTTCTCTCATCAATATTTCTCTCTCTCTCTCCCTCTCCCTTTCTCTCTCTCTAGAATCAATAAAGAAAACAAAAAACTTTTTAATGGGTTCTGAGTTAGACATAAAGAATTTTCAGATGCCTAGTAGAAAGGGATGCTATAAAATCCTTGTAGAACCCAGCTGGTGTAGCTCAGTGGATTGAACATCATCCCATTGACTGAGAGGTCCAGGTTTAATTCCCTGTCAAGGAACATGCCCAGGTTGCCGGCTTGATCCCTAGTAGAGGGTGTGCAGGAGGCAGCCGATTAATGTTTCTCTTTCACGTCAATGTTTCTAACATTCTCTCCTTTCCTCACTCTCTAAAAAAATCAATAAAAACATATAAAAAATAAAATAAAATCTTTTTAGGGACTATTTTAAAATTACAATGTTAATTTATTTGCTTGAGATAGTTTGAGTCCTACTTAAAGATTGATAGATGGCTATAGTAGACAACCTTTGACTCTGTATTATGTTTAGTACATCGAAAAGAGTCTAAATTTAATTAATATAAATAACCAAACAACAGGATTTTTTTGGTCATTTTTAGTAAGTATTGTCACAATGTCACACATAATAATGGTTTTAAATTTTGATGCCACTTTCTTCTAATTCTATTAAAGGAGGATATCGCTGACATAGATTGGTTTTAAAAAATAAATTAAGAAGAGAATGAGCATGTATCAACTGAATTTTTATCGTTTAAAATTAAGAATTTTTTGTCCTGGCAGGTTTCTCAATGGTTAGAGCATTGGCCTGCAGACCAAAGAATTTCAGATTCAATACCAGGTCAAGGGCACATATCTTAATGAAAGAAGGACAGTTTAAGAATGAATAATTCAACTGATAGATTAAATAAGGTATGGGACAACACTTTTTAAGCATACATTTAGTAGGAACTGTATACAGTTGACCCTTGAACAACATGGGTTTGAACTGCATGGGTCTACTTATATGCAGATTTTTTAAAATAAATATTTCTTTTTTTTCCCCCTTGTTTTTATGCACCTGGGGAAGAATAGGAGGAAAGACTTGGGCATGCTCCAGAGAGAGACTCCAATACCTATACTGTTTATGATCCACCCTTGGGAGTCCATGAATACAGAGGGCCAACTGTACGTGTTGGTCTACACCATTCTATTTTTTTTTTTTTCCACATCTTTATTGTTGGATGTAAAATGTATTACAGATGTTCCACATTTTTCCCCCATTGACCCCCTCCTCCCCACTCCCGCCCCCCTCCCACCTTTTCCCAAACTATTGTCCGTGTCCATTGGTTATGCATATAAGTTCTTTGGTTTATTTCTTCCCACCCCCCCCAACCCCTTTCCCTTTGAGGTTTGTCAGTCTAGCAATGAATTTGGGTCTACACCATTCTATATAGAGGATTTGAGCATCTGTGGATTTCGGTATCTGTTGGGGGTCTTGGAATGAATCGCCCATGGATACTGAGGGACAACTTAAGTTTTGAGGGAGTTAAATGTTATATTTGGATTTTCAACCATGTCGGGGTCAGCACCCCTGACTCCCATGTTGTTCAAGGGTCAACTGTATACAAAGATTGGGACTTTGTGTTAAAATCAGTCAATTCAAGTTCCTCTTTCAGCTCTCTAATCACATGAGAAAATAATTTATAAGCCTAGTGAAGCTTACTGACATTTTTCCACTAAGAATTCTGTTGTTCCTTTATGGAATACACATGCATACACATACATTCATATGTAGAACCCTTTATTGCTTTTAAAATTATTTTATCGTATTTTGAAATGTATCATGCATACAGCAGAGTATATAAAAATAGTATGTACAGTTCAAAGAATAATGAGAACATCTTTATACACTCCATTCAGGCTGAGAAGTAGAACATTGCTACTACCTTAGAACCTACCATGTGATCTTTCCTCATTGTACCCCCTCCTCCTCCAAAGGTAACCTCTCTGCTAAATTCTATGATAACTCTTCCCTTACCATCTATAAGTATATCTGCTTGTTTAAAATTTTTATATAAATGTAATCATACTTTAGGTATTCTCTGATTTACTTCCTTTGCTTGACTATCAAAAATGAGATTTATTAGTTTAATTGTGGTTGTTCATTCATTTTCACTGCTGTGGAATAGAATATTCTATCCTTTTTTTTTTAATCCTCACCCGAGGACTTTTTTTTTTGCATTTATCTTCAGATATAGTGGGAGGGAGAGGGTGGAAAAGAGAGAGAGAAACATCAGTGTCGGAGAGACACATCAAGTGGCTGCCACCCACATGACCCCAACCAGGGCTGGGGACAAACTGCAACCGAGGTACATGCCCCTAGTGGGAACTGAACCCGAGACTCTGGTCCATGGGCCGACGCACTAACCAGAGTTAAACCCGCCAGGGCTCAATTTTTAAAAGATGTCTTTTGCTAAAGGGAAGTTCTTAATTTTAATGTAGTCAAATATTTTTCTGTAATAACTACTTTTGAGTATTTTTTGTTGTTGCTGTTAATCCTCACCCAAGTACCTAGATTCAAACCTGCAACCCAGGTACGTGCCCTTGACTGGGAATGGAACCCAAGAGCCTTTGGTCTGTAGGCCAACGATGCTCTAACCATTGAGCCAAACTGGCAAGGGCTTGAATATTCTTAAGAAATTTTTCTTTACCTGAGGTCATTTATAATACTCTTCTACATTTCATTCTAAAAAGATTTTTATTTTTACATTTAGGTTTTT